GACTAAATTATCTAGATTTTGTCTGACTCAAAATATTTTTAAGTAGTTTAACTTCTCAGATAAAGATTTTTGAATGATGGTGAAAAACGAAAAACTTTGAAAACTGACTTAACATAGAATATGTGCAGATTTCAAATATTTTTTAAATATACAACAAAGTTGAAATTTAAAAATCCGAGCCAGACAAAATCTAGATAATTTTGTCATCTTTCATTNAAAAAATGTACCTGCGTGATTCAAGATCTTTCTGAAAAAAGCTGTTGACTAGAAAAGAAAACCAAAAAATTCAAAAAAAATTTGCTATGTGCGCGTTGTCCCCCCTTAAATATTCGTTTTTTTCTTTTTTTCTTTTTATATTTAGACATTTTACCTTCTAATCTACACGTACATTGCTTGTCATTGGCTGGCCATGTCCAATTCATTTGTCAATCCGATCATCTACAGTTTCTACAGTCGCAGCTTCAGAGTGAGTGCCCGTTTGTCTGCTTTTTTTCTATTGATCAATATTTCAATTATTAATCAATCTTTTCTGTTGTGCAGAATGATTTTTGGAAAATATTCAAAACAATAAAACGGAAAAGTGCCATCATTTGTAAAAAATAAAAATAAAATTTTTTTTATGCTGCATTTGTGCAATTTAAAAATAGAAATTTTGTTGTTGTAATATTAACAGCACCCGTTTGCGTAAGAATAAACATTTTAATTTTGCTAATGATGTTTTATAAAAAAATTCACCAGTTGCCCTAATTACCCGCAAGTAATCTTAAAAATTATTTTTTAGGCAAGTCTAATTAGACTAAATGTAATTTATAAGTACAGTATTTATTTAGTTTTAAAATGGCATTTATTATTTGCACATGTTTTCTCATTAATAAAAAGGCTCTAATGCAAATGTTCGTATAACTTTGTTTTGCCTAAGTTCATTGCTGACGTAACTGTTAAAAATATTAAAAACGGTATATTTTAAGTATGCTTTGAATAGAGTTCATTTACAAAAATAAATAAACATAGATATGTAAGTTAATTTTTGGAATAAAACCTACTTTAGTAAAGTAAATTATGACCACAGTTTTATTTTTAAAAGTTTTATAATTTTTCAAATAAAAAACGTTTACTTAATTACTGTTAATTGGTTTGCTGAAAAATATAAAAGGCTATTTTGCAATTTTCTCATTTTTAAATTATCTAACAAACCAAACAAAAACTTTTGCAATAAACAAAAATTTTTTTTTAAAAATAATCATGAACAAAACTTTGCAAACACTCAGTTTCATCCTCATTGTTTTTGCCTTTTTAATTTCACTATCAATGGCAAACTTTCCTCTGTATGAAACAATAGAAATTAATGGAAAAGTTATTCCATTGAGCAAAATCAAAACAATTCAGGACGGCATTAAGCAAGTAAGTAGCAAAACTGTGCATTTTTGTTTTTAATCTTTTCTTCATTCTTGTTTTCAAAGAAACTTTTTGATCGAAAATTCTTCGGCCATTTAATGTACAAACGATCCAAAACTGTAGCCGCTGTTGACAAGGCTTATAGGGCTAATTTGTCAACATACGGATGAGTTGATGCATAATTTAGTTTTCATAATGTTTCCATTAGAGTGTAGATAAGAACAAATTGTAGAAGATTACATTTAAAACCATTTTAACGAAGTTTAAAAGTAAATCTAATTAGCGCATCATTCACTTCATCTCACTGCTACACGGCACCTCTCTAGTCAAAGCTATAAAACTGACTCAACACAACTTCATTTATGTTTAAAAAACTTAATAAACTACAATAAACATAAAAACATTACTAAAAAACTAGTACTACTACCCACAAAAGGGCGTCTTCTTGGTGGTGGCCAGAAAGCGCGATCCGAAGGTTTGCCTGTCACCGCCGTTGCCCAGCTTCTTGATGCCCTCAGCAAAGTAGCCCAGCTCTGCGTCGTACACCGGACACTGCTTTGCCGCGTAGTCGGCCCAACTGTCGCAGACCGCCCCCTTGAACTTGCACTTCTCCTTGGCGTGCAAGCTGGCGTCGTAGNGAAAGGAGTCTTCTTGGTGGTGGCCAGAAAGCGCGATCCGAAGGCTTGCCTGTCACCGCCGTTGCCCAGCTTCTTGATGCCCTCAGCAAAGTAGCCCAGCTCTGCGTCGTACACCGGACACTGCTTTGCCGCGTAGTCGGCCCAACTGTCGCAGACCGCCCCCTTGAACTTGCACTTCTCCTTGGCGTGCAAGCTGGCGTCGTAGAAGAGCACCGAACCGTAGTGGTTGCAGGTGACGCCGCTGAAGAAGCCACAGTGCGGCTGCGAGGCGCCACCATTCGGGTAGAAGTCCACGCTGCCGTAGGGCGCCACAAAGCCCACCTTTCCCGCGAGAATGTTGTCGCCGGCGCTCGAATGAATTCCATCGACAAAGGAGGCGTCCGCCTTGGTCAGGTGCGAGCCCGGGTAGCCCTCAAAGAGAGGGGCGGCCGCATCGAGGCCGGTAATGCGGCCCACCTTCCAGCCGTACTGCGACTGGGTCCACTTGCCGGCAAAGCCGCTCACCTGGGCGCCCAGCGAGAAGCCAATTAGGTAGACGTTCTCCGGTTTGAGGCCCTCGTTGAGCTTCATCGAGTTGAGGAGGTTGCCAATCTGACGACCGACCAGTTCGGTGTTGGCCGACGCCTGCAGGTACTCGGGCGACTTGGCGCCCTTTGCCCAGTCGACGATGATCACGGCGCCCACCTCGTCGTGGCTCTTCATCAGCAGGTGATCCTTGATGGAGTTCAGCTCGGCGCTGCTGGAGGACATGCCGAAGCCGTGGCTAATCACCACCAGCCGTTTGCTAAAGTCCAGCCCGGAAAAGGACTTTGGGTTTTTTGCGTCCACGATAAAGGATTTTCCGTCTGAGGTGAAGGTGTGGAAGGTAGTTCCCATGGACTCGGGCGTCAGCGGGAAGGTGCCCGTCTGTTTCATCGGTCCGTCCGCTCGGTAGCAGCCTAGGTCGGGGTAGCAGATCTCCTCGGTGTCAAATTTGTTTAGTAGTCCTTTTTCGCCGTTTTTGATCGCCTCTTTCACTTTTTGCATGGCAGCGTCAATGTCTTTCAACCATTGTCCCCCGTCCTCAATGGCGTCTCTTATCAACCAAGATTCACAGCTGCTGATGATGACGGCCACAAAAAAAACAGCAAAAATTGCCTGTTTTGAGTTCATTTTTTCAGTTCAGTTTTCAGTGTGTGTATTGAGATTTGGATAGAAAGAAAAAAGGATCGCTACAAATTACAACTAAGTTTTTGGGTATTTTTATACTCGTTTTCAGTCGGATGTAATCTATTATTATTATGGTTATCTAAGGTCTACCCTACTACAACATAGGAGCAAAGGTGTCTTGGCAAAGGTGTCTTGGCAAAGCTGTGTTGACAAACACAATAAAAATAAGCCAATCTGCAATAAAAAAAGCATTTTTATCATCTTTGTGCAGATTGTTTTTGCACTGAAGGCACAGTTCGTGGGCTATGAAAACATGGCTCTGGCTTTTTATTTTAAGTTAACGTGAGCTTACATTCAAAAAGGATAGTTCGTTTTTGGTACATCAGAAAAATGTATGCAAATCTTTTAACGGAAAATTTTAGTTGTATGCAAAAATGCAAGTAATGAAAAAATAATTTTTGTATAAATCAATAGACTTTGTCATTTTGGCATCAAAATGAAAAAGATAGAAAAAAGTTTATGATGCAAGTATTTGCGACGCAAATTCTCTTTTTTATTGCTTCAAAATGGCTAAACTTATTTATTAGTCAAGTACGCTGCTCGCTATCATCAGTAGCCTTTTTAGTGCAAGTTTAAGGTCAAACCAAACTTTTATTAATTTTTAAATTTTCTCGTGTTGCTAACGGCTAATTAAGTTTTTTAAAAGTTAATTTTTTGAGTGCTTAATGCAGCCTTGAACAAAATAAAAAAAATTGTAATTGAATTTAAGTTTTAAAACTCTTTTTTAATTTGCTTAATTTCTGTGTTTGTTGAAAACTTTTAATTAAATTTAAAATTTAATACAGGAAAAACTCACATTGTTGATAAAAACTGTCTTGCGGTTTTTTTCAACAGATGCGAACGGGCCGCAAAAATGCTCACTGTTGTGCATGGTGGCGCTGTCGGCGTCAACAGTTGCTGGCGTTTCAACAGTGTGAATTTTGCCTGTACTATAAAATTTAAACAAAATAATTATAAAGTTGAAAAGTACAAATGTTGAACTCTAAAATAGTTTCGAAAAACAATTTTAAAATATTTAGGTTTCGGAACCTAGTGAAAATAAATTAAGCTTAACGTTTGAAAAAACTATGAGAGCTAAATCAAAATAAACTTGTAAAAATAGAGAAGTAATCTTTTTTGTTTAAAAAAGTAAACAAATAGGATGTCAAGAGTTAGAAATCAAAACAAGTGGTAAAGAGTAAATAAGATCAAAGAGAAGTGCAAATCATGGAGCACAGACATTTCCACGCTGTTCAACTTCCACCGACAATTCCTCTATAGCTTTCCCTTTCTCTGGCGGCTGCCCTGTCCTCAAAACGAATTACCACCTTTGATCGTACAGCGAGCACCACACTGATGCCAATCTTCACCTGCTCCCTTCGGGTGACAGCCACCAAGTTGTACCGCCGAAGAATCGACCCAATGACCAGCTTCATCTCAAGGACGCTGAACCGCTGGCCAGGACATGCTCTGGGACCCGCTGAGAAGGGAATGTACGCATAGGGGCGACTGTTTAGGTTGGACCACTTTTCATTTTCATTAAAACGCTCAGGAATGAACTTTTCCGGCTGTGGAAAGACCTCCGGGTCCTTGTGGAGGATGCTGAAGAGGATCAACGCTGAAGTGCCCGCGGGAATGCGGTGCCCATTGACGGTGATGTCCTTCTCGATCTTTTTGGCGGTGTTTGCGGCGCTGCTGTACAGTCGAAGAGCCTCCTTGATGACCATCTCCAGGTATCGCATGTGGCGGGCGTGCTCCAGCGTGATTGCACAGTTCAGTGGATCATCCTCTCCGCTGAAAACCTCCTCCAGCTCGGCGACAATCTTCGCCTGGACGCGGCGGTCCTCGGCAATCAACAGCAGCGCCATCGTCAGCGTGATCGAGGTAGAGTCCTGGCCGGCGAACATCAGCGCATTGACCTCCTCGAGAATGTCCTTCTCGGTAAAGTCCTTTGGGTTGTCCCAGTGCGCCTGGAGGAGCGAGTCAAAGAAAGCGTATTTGCGCTTTTTAGTGCCTCCAAAGTCTTCTTCATCCTCTGTAGACTCTTTTCTGTTCAGCTCTGGTTTACAATTCAAACTTTTGCCCCTTTCTGCCTCTATGGTCGTCTTCCGCTGAGTGGCCAACTTTTTGACAAAACCGTGAATCTGCTTGATCACCGCAGCGTTCTCCCGTCCATCTGGCGTCAAGCTGTAAATTAGATCATTGTGCACAAATGGGTTCATCAGTCGTTTGGCAAAGAGAATCGTCGCCCGTTTCACCGGCTCAATGTACTCCTTTCGGTCGGTGGTGGACAGCTGGGCGCCGACGCTGGCCGAGAGGCTCGTCTCGCAGACAATGTCCAGCGAGAGATCCTTCATGAGGGGGCGGATGTCCAGTTCGGCTGCTGCTGTTGAACTTTCAATTTTGACTGCTTTCTCAATCCGTTTCATCATAATGGCAATGTTGTCGTTCATGATGGGAACAAAGGAGGTGAGCAGCTGAACGTTGAA